GACAGTTTTCAAACCCTAAGTTTTCTGAAATATTTCACGGCTCTGTAGACGCTTACAGGCTTGGAGCTTTACAATTTTAACGATGTCGGCCGTTTTCATTTCCATCTTGTGCAACTCAACTACGCAGTAGACTGACTTATGCGACTCATAACTTAAGCACACCTGAAAATAGGCAAATAGATAAAATACCAAAATTTTTTTTTATCAAAACTGAATAAAGAATTCCATAAATTTATCAGCACAAATTATTATACTAATTTATTACATATTATTATATGTTTAGAAAATGCAAGATTATCAAAGTTTTTCTAAAAAGAACGCGGCACTAATCAGTACCTGAGGCATGCGCTGTGCATTCGTCTTCAATTTTTAGCTTTGTTTCAGGTGAAACAATGCATATCTTTCCTTTACAATGCTTGATGTAACCTCCCACTCTATCGAATCAGTGATACTTATCCTCCAAGACAAGTCTGAGACCAGTTTGGTACAAATTACCGACCCCAGAGGGATGGATGGCTTGATGAGCCATGAGCGCGAGATTGAAGCGTCCGTCTTCCTTGTGCGCGACGCAGAGCACCTCTAAACAGTGCGCCACATGCACTCGCTCTCTCTCTATATATATATATATATATATTAGCTGGGCAGATGAGTCTGTAAGGACCGAAACACGTGTCTCGGGCTGTACAGGAGCCCTTATCAGACCACATGACATGTTGTCAAATAATGATGAAAGGATATAATATATATATATATATATTATAATATATATATAGGTACGTGTATATTGCACGCTGAAGTGCAGATCCCGCGAAAGTAAGCGAAAAAATATTTTGTGGGCTAATAGAAGTCAGTTATGAGTTGCTGCGCGCTTGCTCAAATTCGAGAGCATTATTCTTTTTGAGCACATTACGCATTAAATCAATCTATTAGGCCTAAATAATTATGGACAAAAGCCCATTTGCATGGTTTTAGGTTCATCAACGGTGTTGATCTATTGCTGAGCGGACAGAAGACTATCAATCACTATCACGACTGCGCTGATACCGACGTACGATATTTCCCTTTATTGGTTTCTAAATCGTTTCTTCTAACAAAATGAAGAAAGGCCACTAAATGCATAACTGACGAAATTACTTTCCCTCTTGGCTTTTTCTTCTAATTTTCGTATCTTTTTAGCGCTTTATTTCTTCTCACTCTAATGTCAGAGCTCTCATTTCAAGCAACGAAGCTAATTAACGAGGTGCATATCGTCGAAAATTGTGAGAAGGGGGTGCCTCGTCAATGTTTTCGAAAGCACTGCTCCTTATTCCAAAGGATTGAAAATGACACTCTTTTTATAGACCCTTAAAGCTCTTTTATGCCCGCCTTTTTATATATAGCCATTTACACTCACCAGATGCTTATGCGTAATAGTTACGGAAAAATTTCCGTTATGGTAGCCAGTGTGTACATATGTAAGAAGGAAAATCGATTGATCGCCCTTCAGCCACATTAATATTCATGCCGACTGGAACAGAAAGCATTTTTTACTGTGAATATTAGTGTTAATGTTGGTAAAAATACGATCTCACGCGGGAGTCGAGCCCTCGCTTCTACCACACCGAGGACGTGTGCTATCACTGCGTCCTCATTATGGATGAAACGCTGATTCGACTTCTGCCTGAGGTCGTATTTTTGCTCACCACACAATTCTCTTAGGAGTATCAATAATCACCAAAGGTCATTTTATTTGGCCGCCACCTGTGGTGATATGATGTTACACTATACCCAATAATGGAATATTAATGACGTTGATATAATATTACAATATTGATATGATGTTACAATATTAATATGATGTTGCAATATACCCAACAATATATCAAATCTCTTAGGAGTATATGAAACATTATAACACTGCGAAAAAGAGCAGCAAAAACACTAGAATTAGAATTTCAGTATAACGGATGTCAGTATCAATTTTAGTGTGAACATTAGTAATAACTTTGAACTTTTTTCACTTCTGAATTCATTTAAAATGATGCAATTACGTTTATTGAAGCTTTAAGTTAGAGCTATTGTGTTTACGAAAGAATCTTTTTGAGAGCACTGTAAATTCATCAACTCATCTTAGAATCTGTCAAATTTTGGCTTCGTGAGAAAATCAAAAGTTTTACAAACCTACTTACAGGGCCAATGCATTACTGAGTCGAGTGTCGTCGTGGGAACGTAGGAAATCGACTGGGCCTTAAAAATTAGCTTTTTTGAATCAAAGACTTTCCGTTCCAGTATCTACTCTGTCCCGATGACGTTCTCGACATCGTCTGTCTTATGTCCGGAGGCGCATGGAGTGACAGGCCTTTCACCTCGGTAGTGGCATGTGCCGATGCAATGATTCGCGTGAGTACCCAGGAATGTTATTTTTCTATACTCTGATTTTTTGTGGAAAAATCTGTAAACTGCCATAGATTGGGTTGTAGAGCTTGACAGTAATCAACAGATAGGGAACCTTTGAGCAGAGTATATGGAATCTGGGAACATTAGTATACTCTCGCTCTATATCACACGTTTTTTTACAAACAGTACACTGTTAAACCTTTTCCAAAGTCGATAACATAAATGCGAGGCTAAAGCTTCAATATCAAACTTACCAGTTTATACTGTTGACAATGTTAAGTTTTTTTAGACAGACAGACTCAAAAGACTCATGAGATTTGATTTCAATGAGTGACAAGTAGGGAGAGGGATAATGAAATGGTTAATGATGACAGCACACCAGGAGGCATGGTGCTGGTCCGAACACGTTCCTCAACAGTCTCCTTACAACCAACGCAGGGACTTCTCTAGGTCGGCTATGTCCAAGACTGCAAGGAAATTCATAAAATTTCTGCTATAATCATACACAAGACTATATCCGCGAACCAGTCGAAATAAGGATGTTACATGTATGGGGACATTTGCGAGTGATAGAATTCAAGACGAATAAATGAAAGAGATGATAGGATTTGAGGAGTAGGTGTAATGACGAGTTATGTGGCTGTAGACTAGAATATAAATAAGAAGTGGGGGACACGCCTTACGTATTTCCAAACTTTCAACTTTTGTATACATACCCACTTTTTAAAAGCTACAAGCTCGACTGCCGGTCACTACAATGTCAAGTAATTCCATCATCTGACTTGTGGTGATTCATTAATCGCGTTGATTCCTTTATAGAGGAGTATAACCTCAAGGGGTCGGCTGAGACGAGAGCAGTGCTACTGATGGGTCCTGGTAGGACGAAACAGGCGCCTGTATAGCATTTAGACATGGCTCAAAACATCTTATATCCTTATACCACAGTGTTTTACACAGATAGTTTTTAGATTTTCGCATTTTGATTTCTCCACAACTGCGACAAGAAAAAAGATATCCACAGAAACTGCTAGACAACTTTCGCTCTGCTGACGACACGACGTCTCCATAGCTTGCTTAGCAGTGAATTTGTACTATGTTTGAGGATTTTCAAGAATCGCAAAAAGTGAGGACTGTGCTTAATCAAAGGAGGCATTGCTGCTATGAGAAAAATGTAGGGAGCGATGAAAAAAATCAAAATAGGTGGTTTTTTGATCACAACTACTACATCCTACCACGCACTCAGTTGAACCTATGAACTGGCATTCCGATGTTGTTAAGACAGGATAGAGCAATTCGACCGATGTTGAGGCTGCTTGGAGAAATCATAGCGCAACATCAAACTTTCTTACTCACCACCTTGACTCAATATTTATATAAACGCTTAGCCGTTTAGCCAGTTGATAAAATTGAAATTATGATGCATTAACTGACTTAAGCCTAAAAATAGCTCCTAAAAATATAACTTAAATTCCAACTGTGTACATCAAATATTTGGAAGCAATGCTGTCCTTGGTGATGACTTGTAAATGACTGTGGTAAGGCAAAGTTGATCAGGCGTTTGTGTAATGGGAAGAGTTAGTCATCGATGAATGAGAATAGAAGAGTTAAGACGAAAGCCATTTTTGCAGCGCCTTCTGCAAAAGAAACAGAAATATTGGTAACTTACGTCAGATGGGAAGATTTTCGATTGCAAAATGATATTCTACACATATCACTAAGCTTGAAATTTCATCATCCCTTTGCGCTTGTATCGAAGTGGAATCAATGGGAAATGTACTCAAGCGAGTGGAACTTGTGTAAATGAGTTAGCTGACTATGCAATCCAAGCAAATGGGAACCATATGAAAATAACTGTCTAACTGCCTACACAAAACGCTATGAAATTGCCTGGTAAGCATGTTTCCTTTGTTCCAGGTCATCGAAGGTTCCAATATAGCTTTTGAAGTGCAAATGAATTCCGTACCGAATACACTCTATCTCTTCATGGGAGATGGAGGTATCCATGGCGTTACTTTTGTTAATAAGTTATTATTTTGGTTTTTTCCATTGATTCTTCTTGTAGGCTATTCTAAACAGTTGGTGCTTTATGGAACGCGAAACGGTAAACTTGGACTCATTGATATCAAAGCAAAAGAAGCAGAAATTAAGTGGGAAATTGCTACACCACGCTAAGCGGTTTGTTTAACTCTTAAATTTTTTTTCAAAAGCCTATTTCGCACTTCTTGAGCAGCTCTCAGTTAAACGCTCCTGTGATCATAAACTATGTTTTCTTTTCTTTTTCATTCTGATATCATATTGGATGAGGACTTACAGTAAGTTGTAAATTTCGAGGCCCTTTTTTCCCAGAATACTTGGATCTCAATAGTTGATGAAAAAAGGACATTTGTAGGTGATTTTCTGAGCGCCGGTCAATTCTACCTTTACTTCTCTGAAAGTACACCTAGAATTCTTGGCTCAGCAACTGTTAAACGCAAAAATATGACACTTTAATTTCAGGATTCATTTTATTTGACCGCCTATTGCGGGGTATGATGGTAGAATGAACCCAATTATGAAAGTGGTGTATACAAACATTTGCGTCAACTGGATTTAAACCCAGATCTCACCCTCAGGGGCGCACGTTGGCGTCGGTAGCGCAACGGTTTCAACACGCGCCCCGGATAGGGTGAGATCTGGGTTTGAATCCCAGTTGACACAAATGTTTCTTGCACACCACTTTACATTATTGAGTTTGACTCCCGTTTATTTTCATTTCCAATTCTAGTCTTTTTCCTCCTCAATACCAGTTTATTGACGATTATGAGCCAGCACATTAACATCACCGTGAAGACGTAAAAGTAATTTTGAAGTGTTCAGAATCAACATACTTTTTTCAGCAATTACTTCCATCACTTGCTATCCATTCAGTGGACTTGATCATCCTGACATTCTAATTGGAAAGGATGATGGTGTGTTGGAAATCTACACAGTCGACACCGAAGATAACTGCGCTCTCTACGGAACATATGTAAGACGGATAACCCTCACCATTTTTTTCCATTCCTTGGTTTCTTCTAGGCTGCTTAGTAAGCTAAGCGATCTCCTCAAAGTAAAGGTCTTAGCACTGAGCAATCCGCTTGAGGTTTTGTAGCGGAAATCATTTGGTGAGGAAGTATCCTGTAGTCAAAAACCTTCTGCAAACACATAAGCGTACATATCAGCAGAATTACCTAATCATACTCCTGGATGAACTCAAAATTCTCGTGATTAACAAAAGTCATAATAACTGTCGTCTTATAGCTGACGTTCAGGTGCAATCTTCTAGGAATTCGTAGACGTGTCCTGTGTCATTTATACAAGGAATCTTGCACTCGCGACTCTATCTGGCATAAGGCTGTGATGCCTAAAAATGAGACTTCTACAATTGAAGATTAATAATGCATATTATACTTGCGATTAGATCCGAATAAGGTGCATCAAGTAAAAAATCAGAGGAAAAGTGGGCTACAGAATCCAGCATAGTTTTCCTATGCCCACCGGTTTTTCTAATAGTTTCTAAATCTTTTTTTTCCAGCACTGTGACGAATCGATCACGAGCGTTGGCTGCGGGCGTGTATGTTCAGAAGAAGAGGATGAGATTGTTGTTTGTACTTATACAGGCTAGTGGAATTCTCGTCTTATTCTTATTATCTTATTATTCCTCTTCATTGCACATGTAGATTTGATGCTAAGTGATAATTACTGTCTAAGGATGCTGAACCAGTTTTTTGATGAAAACGCTTCAGAAGTTTCGCATCCTTCGTATGATGGGTTACGAGAATTTTTTTATGAACTTATTTACAAAGTAATCTGCCTCTGGATAAATGGTATGTTTCTTGAAAGCCTATACGACAAATGAAAAGAGAATGAATAAGATTTTTTGTCGTTTTGCAAGCTCGTTCATTCTGTTCATAAGTTTGTTAAGAACTCAAATGTGAACTAGAATTGTAGAGTCAATAAAGACTTTAGCCGAACAGATAATTTAACTTGTTTGTAGGCTGTTTACTCATGGAAATAGGCAGCGCAAAGAGTAGAAGATTTCTGTCTTGACTTCGCATTGAATTCCCGATTGATTCGCCTGTATTCTGAAACTGTCTTCCAGATGATAATGAGGCCAGAAACAAAGGGACGGTGATTTGCACAGAGTCAAATGTTCCTCTTCTCGTGTTTCTTTTGACGACGGTCCTTATTGCTTATGTTGTTACTTGTTGAGCTTGAAACAAAGCATATTGAAAAACGACTATCGATGCTTTTCTCTTATCCGCAACCGTAATAAAAATAAACCTATTTTCTGCTCTTTTTAGACATTTCAGTAGTCATTCGATAGCTTAAATCTCGAGAATTTGAAAGGGTGCATTTTATTTTTTGAATATCCATTATACTGCGCTGTAACTAGTAAAAATAACATTTCATTCACACTCAAGCTTTTTTCGCTGGGCAGGACTTTCCTCTAAGAATTCAACAATTTTTCGATAGCACAAATTTCCAAGCATTTAGTAGCGTTTTGGTTTTCTAAAGAGAAAAAACTTTCTATTGCGCTGCAACACTGAAATTAATATTGCATTTCTCATGCGGTGTGCACACCTTGTATCGGTATGCACAAAGATTTCGCACCGTTGACATCAAGCCACCGCATTTTAATAACCACTCAGTAGCTTAAGTTCAAGAAATTCAGCGGACGTTTGCTTTATGAAACGAAATTTTTTAGCGCGCTGTAGCAGTGAGAATAAAATTGTGTTGCGCCTTTGAGTCCTCTTCGCTGGACTCAGCTTTTCTCCAGACTTTCAATAGCCAATCGAGAACACAAACTGTCAGCGATTTCAATATTATGCTTGATTTTTAGGAACAAATCACAGCTAAGAGAATATTGGGTTTCGCACTCGGCGCTTATCGCACACCACACGTGAATTGCGCTGCAGATCGACATGACGCCGAGTGCGGAACCTAATACACTCTTAGCTGTAATAACGCGCTTTAAAAGTTCTTTCAAAAATTGAGTGCATTAGTGAAACCTCTGACATTTGGGCTATCGAATAGTCATAAAAGTCTGAGAGAAGAGCTGCGTTCAGCAAAAGAGCTTGGGTTTTAAATTAAACTTCATTTTTACTATTACAGCACAATATAAAAACCTTTAGAAAGTAGAATAGATCTTTCAAATTCTCGCAATATGGGCCCGGATAGGGAAAGAGTACCGACCATCATCCAAGCTACATGACTAGGAAACAGTTCGTTACAACGTCCTCGAATAGTCAGCCGATAATTTGTGAGATTCGTTTGCGTCACATACATCATTGTTGTGTCTGAAAAATCTGGTTCTCAGAGTAGAAATTGTTCTGTCCACAAACGGTGAGAGGAGCAAATGGTGAGGGCAGGGTGTCTTGACACGAATGTCTCCGAAATCCACACTCGCTCAATATTCAGTTCGACCCCCTATAGACAAAGAAAATAGATTCTTGTTGTGGCCTAATTCGTATTTTGGCCCGATCACTTTCGCCGATTGCAGTTGTAAGGCAATGAAAAATTTGAAAGAAATGCTGAATTCAGCAGGAGGCGTGAAAACCAGATTCCTGATAAGGCAAGTGTATGAGGTGCAAAAAACCTCACCACGGGGCATCACGCAGTCAACAATATCCACACTAGGGACTTGTTTAGCATAAAGGTTACAGATGTTCCACAACAATAACTGAATGCACCGTTGGGTTGATTTCATCTGAGCGCTTACAACACCTTTCTATTTCTCTACACTTGCCTCAGAATATAAGAACGCCCACACTGATATGTCCATAGGCCACATCAAGTCGTTAATTAGTGAACCACTGAAAAGAATAGCTCAAATTGTACCATATTACTGTTGTGGCTGCTTTTGGTGCTTTACTTACCTTTCTTCGTATCCGTCTCTCAAAGTTGACACTTGAAAACGAATGACTATCATATCCATGTGCACGGAACTTTTATAAAGCTGAACGTTTGCAGTGATAGAAACGCGGAAATAGTAGAAAACAGCGATTCGTGTAACTCCAATCGTATTTATTATCTATATTGATTTCCTGTCTTTGCGTACTCATGATATGGAAATAATTGGGCAGATAATCAAGTTCCAGATGTTATATTATGTAGTGGTGGTGTATTCGCAGAGTAGTTACTGATGGAGTGTATCAGGAAATAAGGTGATGAACAAGAAGATGTGCCAAACTCTTATCTAACAGTCGCTTCAAAGCAATCAACAGGGAATCATTAGCTTGGTTATTTCCAAAACTGCAAGAGGAATCCCGTTGATCAGTATTCTAACGACATTCATAAGACGAAATTCTCAAGCAGCAGCCGAAGCAGCACATGAAGTAAGACCTTTGTAGAGGATGGATGCGAGAATTCGAATCAAACGCAAGAGGAGCTAAGGATCAGCATAGTAAATTGTGGCGACTGTTAGTGTCGAATGAATGCAAATAAAATTCATTGTAATAATGGAATTAAATTTCTAAAAATGCTGACCCTTTCGTAGACTAATACCAATCAAATGATAACCATTTTAGGATGGCTGTTCTCCTTAGCACCTTCGAAATCCGGTGTGGCATCGATGAACACTAAAGCGGCCGATGTGAATGTGAAGGTACAACAGTTAAGGTGAATAGTTGCTTAGTTTCATGTTGTATTCAACTTCAACCCACGGAATGCCGTCATTAGATCGGTCGATGTTACAGGCATATTGATCATGCATACACTGGAAGACCTTGCTTAAACAGAGAAATTTGTGAAATATAACCAAAAACCAGTCTATGTTCGAAACAAAGATTGTATAGATAACTTAGTGCAATTATGTAGAAAGATAGAGAAACAAGTAGAGAATTCCTTTCATAAGAATAGCGGTTCTGAATAATTCTTCAAGATACTCATAAGATACTCATTAGCTATAAATCTCTTTATTTGCCGCTTTTAGCAATGGTAAGTCTTCACTAATATACTCCTGTTATTAGGCAGCTGTATCGCCTTTACAAGGTCATCAGTAACACGATGCCTTTCGATTCAGCTCATCCCTCACAAGGGATATACCTCCTGCTTATAAAGGAAGTGACGCCAAATCATTCAAACCACCGTATGTTGAGTGTCAACATCCCGCGACACTGTGGAGTACCCAATATTGTTGAGTAATATGCAGAACTTTTTTGTCTGACGTCCAAAATTTTACAAATGATTCAGCAATATTAAACACATCTTCGAGTTACTGCTCGCTTTTTCTTTGAATTTAAATCGATTGTGCGCTTTTTTATAACGAAAATACGAAAAAAGTTGTACATAAATCCTTACAAGAGTCTCCTTTTGAAAAAAGCGATCTTATATTATAACATCGATTTTGTTTTCCGCACATTTTTTTCACGATTCACAATTTAGAATTCTTATGCCTAGTTTATCTCACAACTTGACGTCATATAATTTGATCTTCGAGACTGTTTGACGATTTCCTCATCTTCGTCATAATTGCCGTAGAATGATGTTTGGTTTGTTGTCTTCTAGAACTCTGGGATAACCGTGCTAAATCACAATAGCATTGATTGGAGGGAGCTGTCATGTCCCAGAATGGTCCGTTTCGGGGTCCGACTCCGGGGGGATAAGAAAACTGGTTGACGTGCACGGTGCCAAGTCAGGGGTTCGACCGTCTGCGTAATGAACGGAATCATCTTCTT